TTGCAACAAACCCCGTTGCCAGCTTTGTCCACATATTTACTCTGCTGACACCATTATTGGACCTAGCCAATTCAGTTATAAGATCAAGAACACATACTCCTGCTCATCCGGAAATATAATTTATCTTATCATGTGTCGACAGTGTCCGTCTGCTATGTACATTGGAAAACGTCTCAGACACTTCTCCAAAGAATCAATACACACAAAACAGATATCAGACAGTGTCACAAAGCAAAACAATTTCTCGCCATTTCAACCAGAAAGGGCATTGTCTCAATGGCTTGACTACCTGCATCTTACTTCAAAGGTGTTTTCACACAAGACTTCAAAGAGAAACCTCTGAACTGTCATTCATACTTAAATTTGACACTTTACGACTTGAGCTCAACAAAGATGCTAATTACCCTACCAATTACAAAGATAGCTTCCCCAATTATCACCTCTAATATCATTAACTCATAGACATTAACCTCCCCTCCTCATCCCCTGTCTGTTCTGAAATTAGATTTGTCCTTTTTATATGTGTTCACTTTTTTTTTATTGTACCCCTTTGGGGTATATATGGTCATGCCAATTTTCTTCCACAATTTGATCTGAGGAAGTGGGTCTGGCCCATGAAAGCTTATCACCTAACAAACCATCTTACTAGTCTTTAAAGTGCTACATAGTCCTATCTTCTGTTTCAGCTAGACCAGACTAACACAGCTGCATCTCTATTACTATTCTCTAACCATAGGACTTGTTACCCTATCAAAGCAAGCTGTCAGGCTGGTTTAATAAGAACATAGGAATGACCATACTGGGTCAAACTGAAGGTCCATCTAGCCCAATATCCTGTCTTCTGACAGAGACCAATGCCAGATAACCCAGAGGGAGTGAACTAAATGGGAAATCATCACATGATCCCTCTCCTGTCATCCATTTCCAGTTTCTGACAAACAGAGGCTAGGGGCACCATTCCTACCCATCCTGGATAGTAGCCATTGATGGACCTAACCTCCATGAATCTATCTAGCTCTTTTTTGAACCCTGTTAAAGTCCTAGTCTTCATAACCTCCTCTGGCAAGGAGTTCCACAGGCTGATTGTGTGCTGCATGAAGAAAAACTTCCTTTTCTTTGTTTTAAACCTACTACCTATAAATTTAATTTGGTGATCCCCTAGTTCTTATGTTATAGTTCTTATGTTCACATTGTTGTTCTTAACAAATTCTGTGAGCAGGGAACCATATAAGCCAGTAAAGGGTGGGCATGAGAAAGGCAGGGGTTGGAGCAAGTCATGTGTGAGGGCACAGAGGATGTGAGGAGAACTGGGGCAGAGGATGGTGAGGAAGTGGGCACCAGGGAGAAAGAAGGCAGAGGGCAGGGGCAGTAAGGGAAGGGGTAAGCACCAGGAAGGTGCAGGTGCCGGGGGATTGTGGGGGTTAAGCAGAAGGGCAGATACTGGAGGGGAGGGACAGGCATCAGAGGGGAGAGGAAGAGCAGGTAGGTAGAGGGAGGTGTTAGAGGATGGGGAGGGGTAACTATAGATGATCAGAGAGGGGCTAGAGGAGGAGTGGACACAGAGAGGAGAGGAGAGAAGAGAAGGGCAGGTGCAGGGGTTAAGGAGGATGGGGAGGGGAGGGGAGGGGAGCAGGCATACATGGACTCAATTCTGTTTCTCAAGACAAAACTCACTCCGCTCATGGGTGGAAAATCTTAGAGGGAACACTGGAGTCAACTCTGGCAGTTGACTAAGTGTTGTGGGCTGGAGGACAGGGAGTGAGAGACTTGCAGAGTGGAGGCAGACTTCATATGCTCTTCCCACCCCCAGACCCTGATTGACCTGGGGCAGGAGGGAGCACGCAAAGTCTCCTTCCAGCTCCAGGAATGTAGGCATCTAAAAGGAACCCCAGCTGTTCAGAACTGGCGGCTCTCTGGTGGGGTGGGAGTGAAGACTTCTCACACTCCACAACCCACACACCAATCAGAGTCTGTGGACGGGGAAGCATGGAAGTGTGCTGGCCCCACCCCTTCTGCCTGAGGCCCTACCCCTTCCCAGGGTAGCCACTTCAAAAATTTCTTAAGATGCCCCCAATTAAAAATTATTGCCCACCGCAATCTAAGGTATAAATTGCCCTGGGAATGGGGCTGGTCCTTTGCGGTTGGAAGAACATATTTACAGTGTGCCCTTGTAGCCAAGAAGGCTAATGGCATATTGGGATGCATTATGAGGAGCATTGCCAGCAGATCCAGAGAAGTGATTATTCCCTTTTATTCAGCTCTAGTGAGGCCACATCTGGAGCATTGTGTCCAGTTTGGGGGCCCCCACTATATAAAGGATGTGGATGTATTGGAGAGGGTTCAACAGAGGGAAACCAAAATGATTAGAGGGCTGAAGCACATGACCTATGAGGAGAGGCTGAGGGATTCAGGTTTGTTTAGTCTGCAGAAGAGAAGGGTGAGGAGGATTTGTTAGCAGCCTTCAACTTCCTGAAGGGAGGTTCAAAAGAGGATGGAGAGAGGCTGTTCTCAGTAGTGACAGATGGCAGAACAAGCAGCAATGGTCTCAAATTACAGTGGGGGAGGTCTAGGTTGGATATTAGGAAAAACTATTTCACTAGAAGGGTGGTGAAGCACTGGAATGGGTTCCCTAGGGAGGACATGGAATCTCCATCCCTAGAGGTTTTTAAGTCTCAGCTTGATAAAGCCCTGGCTGGGATGATTTAGTTGGGATTGGTCCCCTGGCCAGGTCTCCACCAGAATCCTACCCTACTCCCTGGCCAGACCTCCTACCAGCACACTACCCCAAGGCCAGACTCCCATCAGGACCCTGCTGTTGCTTCCTAGCCAGACCCCCCACCAGCATTCTGCTCCTGCCCCCTCCCTCCTGGACAGACACCTACCCCCAACTTCCTCCTGTACCCTACTTTCCAACTAGATTCTGCACCTCCGTCCCTATCCCACTCATTGGCGACTCTGTCCTTTACACTGGATCTCTCATTTTGGCCCCACCTCAGAGTGAAGAGGGCCCCACAAAATCTACTAACTCTGGAACCCCAGAAGAATTAATCTGGCCTGGGGCCTTGAACCTCAGTCCTACCTACTCTCCCACCCCCCATAGGGTAGAGTGCCAGGAAAGGGAAGTGTTTCAGTTGGGGCTACATCAATGAGATTTGGAGGGATTTGGAGGGGTTGTTTTTTGCATCTCACTTGTGTGTCCCTGACTGATTTTTCTGTGAGTCAGTGCCCCAACCCAAACAGGTTCCCCATCCCTCCCATAAATAAAGACCATGCTGAAACATTTTATGTTGGAAATAATATTATTTAAAAATGAACCCTGTTCAATAAGCCCCATGGGGACATACCTCCATTTGGCTACAGCATCATAACACTCCTGCACCTCCCACAGACCCCAACTCTAAATCATACACCACATCCCCAGTCTTCTGCTACAACATTCCTCCATCATCCACACATTGCAAACCTGTGCCCTGAGGCTCTCATACACCCCAAACCAAACTCCTGCACCCGCACAAGCCTGTAGCTTGCTCAGCACCCCAACCCTCCACCTGACCCCCAACTCTCTCCAGCCTAGAGCCCTCTGAGCCAGCATCCCCTTTTGCATCTCTGCTTGCACCTCTTACCTCTTCCCACACCCAAATCCCTCATTCCCAACCCAGTGAGACCGAATAAGCGCTGGGGACAGCAAATGGTGAGAGAGAAGGGGAATGGAGAGGGACGGGGGCTGCGTCTAGACTGGCAAGTTTTTCCGCAAAAGCACTTGCTTTTGTGGAAAAACTTGCCAGCTGTCTATACTGGCCTCTTGAATTTGCGCAAGAACACTGACAATCTAATGTAAGATTGTCAGTGTTCTTGTGCAAATACTATGCTGCTCCCATTCGGGGAAAAAGCCCTCTTGCGCAAATGTATTTGTGCAAGAGTGCCAGTGTAGACAGCTAAAATCTGTTTTGCACAAAAAAGCCCTGATGGCCAAAATGGCGATCTGGGCTTTCTTGCGCAAAACCGCGTCTAGATTGGCACGGACGCTTTTCCGCAAAAAGTGCTTTTGCGCAAAAGCATCCGTGCCAATCTAGACGCTCTTTTCCGCAAATGCTTTTAATGGGAAAACTTTTCCGCTAAAAGCATTTGCAGAAAATCATGCCAGTCTAGACGCAGCCGGGGTGTTGGGGAAGGGATGGGGTAGATCTTGGCTTGCCCTGACATTTAAAAAGTGAACTTGGGTGTAAAAAGTTTGGAGACCACTGATACGAGGTTTCTTGCCCATGTTGATTCTTTAATATTCAATGAGGTGTGCATTCTGACTGAAGGGTTTTGCCAATCAGAGCAGCTGAAGGTTTCTTTCTTATGTGAATTCACATCTGTACTCTGATAGCAGCTTTTGCCACAGTCAGAGCAGTGATATTGTCTCTCATGTATGCATTATTTGATGTTTACTAAGGCTTGAGCGGTGATTGAAACTTTTTGCACATTCAGAACACTTAAATGGTTTCTCTCCTGTGTGAATTCTCTGATGTATAAGAAGATTTGAGCGCAAACTGAAGCTCTTCCCACAGTCAGAACATTTAAATGGTTTTTCTCCTGTGTGAATTCTTTGGTGTACAATAAGATTTGAGCGCCGACTGAAGCTTTTCCCACAGTCAGAGCAGCTGAAGGGTTTCTCCCCTGTGTGGATTCTGCTATGTCTAACAAGGTCTTTCCTCTCACTGAAGCTTTTCCCACACTCGCAGCAGTTGAAGCGTTTCTCTCCAGTGTGAATTCTCCGATGACTAACAAAATTTGACCGGTTATTGAAGCTTTTCCCACAGTCAGAGCAGCTGAAGGGTTTCTCCCCTGTGTGGATTCTGCTATGTCTAACAAGGTCTTTCCTCTCACTGAAGCTTTTCCCGCAGTCAGAGCAGCTGAAGGGTTTCTCTCCTGTGTGAATTTTCTGATGACTAACAAGACTTGACCGCTGCCTGAAGCTTTTCCCACAGTCAGAGCAGTTGAAGGGTTTCTCCCCTGTGTGGATTCTTTGGTGTATAATTAGGGTGTTTTTCCGTTGAAAGGTTTTCCCACAGTAACTGCAAGTGTAGAGTGCTTGTTGATGGGAGATTGTCTGGTGAACAGTTTCTGTGTTTATTTTCACCCCTCTGCTGTTGGGACTGGATTTACCCTGTCCCTCCACCAGATGGTTTTGCTGCTGCCTTTCTGGACTACACTGATTCTGATAGACCTTTCCCTGCTCAAGAATATGGGGAACATGCCCTTCAGATCTTCCCAAAAACATCGCACTTTCCTCATGAAGACTCTCCTCCTTGTTCTCACTCACCATTCCATCACCTGCAGGGAGAGAGAGAATCCAGACAGGAGTCATTTTTTGTGCTAAGCTGAAAGGAAAACTCTGGAAGGGGAACATAAAAGGGGGAAAAAACCCAAATAATGGCTTGAATAATCATGAGCTGAGCTCATTCTCCTTCCTCAGTCCTTCTCCAGAGGAAAGAACCCAGCCTCCACTCTGCACCCTCTGACTGGAGTTGAATACAGGCTGAAGAGTCAGTTAGACTGAATGAAACTGCACAAAAGACACTTGAAAAAAATGAGGACACAGACATTGGTTTCTGGGTCAGTTTAGTTGATTCCTCACCTGTGTGGGTGTTGCTGATAATCTCCCCTTCCTCGCAGCCCTGGAGATCCAGGATCTGCACCTCATCCCTTTTCTCCACCCAGATCACAGGAGCTTTGGGAACTGGAAATCCTGCTCAGGGAGGAATTAACCAAGTGATTTTGTTCATTAAGGTCCATGTCATTACCGCTTCCAGAGCCAGGACCTGAGTCGCCCACTCAGAGAGGCTCCTTCCCCACCTTGCAGAGACTGGGCTCTGGGTGATACAAGATCCCAGAACACACTCACCTTTACTGAGGCCCCTGCTTCAGGAATGATCCAAGTGATCCCCTGGGGGAGCGAAGTGCTCTGCTGCACTCTGTAGGATACAACTAAGTCTTCCTCAAGGCCTGTTCTATCCCCCCCATCCCAGGGCAGGACAGGAACACACTGCTCAGAAGGGGAGCTCCAGTGAGGACCGGCAGATCTGACAGTGAGGCCCACAGGCAGGGCTGAGACTGCAGGTGCCACATGGTACAGCACTAGGACTTGGAGAGAAAGGACCCAGCAGATCTCTAGCTCCCTAAGAGCTCTTTCCACAAAACTCCTGGCTAGGGGGCTCGGCTCACCCTGCTCTTTGGCTCGGACGCTCTACTTGAACCAGGAGGCAGCAGAGGAAGTTGTCTGAGCAGGTAAGCAAATCCTTAGATAGTTGTTTCTGACCCTGCCTGTGTTCCAGACTCCTGGCCCTGACTGCCTGTGCCTGAGTGGGCTCTGCTAGCGGAGTTCATCCTCCTTCCTCACATCCCTTCCACAGGGAAGAGAACCCTGCCTTCCCCCCACTCCCTCTGACTAGAGCTGAACATGGGGGCTGTGTCTAGACTGGCAAGCTTTTCCGCAAAATCATCTGCTTTTGTGGAAAAACTTGCCAACTGTCTACACTGGCCGCTTGAATTTCCACAAGAACACTAACGATCTCATGTAAGATCATCAGTGTTCTTGCGGAAATACTGTGCTGCTCCCGTTCGGGCAAAAGCCCTCTTGTGCAAATCATTTGCGCAAGAGGGCCAGTGTAGACAGCACAGTACTGTTTCGCGCAAAAAAGCCCTGATGGCTAAAATGGCGATCGGGGCTTTTTTGCGCAAAAGCGCGTCTAGATTGGCACGGACGCTTTTCCGCAAAAAGTGCTTTTGTGCAAAAGTGTCTGTGCCAATCTAGATGCTCTTTTCTGAAAATGCTTTTAACAGAAAACTTTTCTGTTAAAAGCATTTCCAGAAAATCACGCCAGTGTAGACGTAGCCAGGATAAAGTATCAGTTAAACTTGATGGAAGTGCAAAAGTGACACCTGCTATGAGGTTACAGAAATTGGTTTCTTAGTCAGTTTAGCTGATTTCTCACCTGTGTGGGTGTCATTGATGATTTCTCCTTCCTCACAGCCCTGGAGATCTGGGATCTGCAGCTCCTCCCCTTGCTCCACCCAGGAGATCACATGAGCTTTGAAGTCTTGAAATCCTGCTTGGGGGAGCAATTGTTGATGTTGTTCATTAAGGTCTGCACCATTACTGCTTCCAGAGCCAGGGTCTGAGTTGCCCACCCAGACAGGATCCTTCCCCATCTTGCAGGGTCTGGGCTCTGGATGGTACAAGATCCCAGGATGCACTCACCTACAGTGAAGGCGCACCTCAGGAATGGCCCACTGATTCCCTGGGGGAGCCACTGAGGCTCACAGGCAGGGCTCAGACTGCAGCTGTCACACAGCAGGTCACTAGGACTTGGGGAGCAAGAACTTTGCCGGGTCCTTTCTCCCCAAGGGCTCTGTCCCCAAAGCTCCAGGCTGGGGGGCTCATCTCACCCTGCTCTTTGGCTCAGATGCTCTACTTGAACCAGGAGGCGGTAGAGGAAGTTCTCTGAGCAGTGAAGTGAATCTTTGGCTGGTTGCTTTAGACCCTGCCTATGCTCTAGACTCCTGACTACCTGTGCCTGGGTGGGTCCTGCCAGTTGCCCACAATAGCTGCTGCTCCTGCAACTGGCCATGGCAGCATTTGGCTGTGCTGCTTCTCCAGGATGTGTGGATGTTGCTACAGCTGAGTTCACAGAATCATAGAATCCGAGGGCTGGAAGAGATCTCAAGTGGTCATTGAATCCAGCCCCCTGGCCAAAGCAGGACCAACCCCAACTAAATCATCCCAGCCAGGGCTCTCTCAAGCTGGGACTTAAAAACCTCTAGGGTGTCATGGTCATGAGGGATGGTGAGCAGCCTGGGGACTAAGGGGTTAACTGTTAACTGCCAGGTAGCAGTCAGCTAATAGAAAAGCAGATAAGGATTTCAAACTGAGACAAAGGAATTTGGGGGTTTTCCCTCCTTTGTCTCTGGTACAATTGATTCTCCAGATACGGAGGGAGACAGACAATATGGCTGCGTCTAGATTGGCAAGTTTTACCACAAAAGCAGCTGCTTTTGCGGAAAAACTTGCCAGCTGTCTACACTGGCCGCTTGAATTTCAACAAGAACACTGACGATCTCATGTAAGATTGTCAGTGTTCTTGCGGAAATGCTATGCTGCTCCCATTTCAGCAAAAGCCCTCTTGCGCAAATGCTTTTGCGCAAGACAGCCAGTGTAGACAATGTGGTATTGTTTTGCGCAAAAAAGCCCCGATCGCGAAAATGGTGATCAGGACTTTCTTGCGCAAAACCGCGTCTAAATTGGCACGGACGCTTTTCCGCAAAAAGTGCTTTTGCAGAAAAGAGTCCATGCCAATCTAGACTCTCTTTTCCGCAAATGCTTTTAACGGAAAAACTTTTGCAGAAAATCATGCCAATCTAGACGTAGCCCTTGTCTCTCTCCAAGAAAAGGCTCTTCACCACTGTAAGTGGGGTAAAGTTTAGATGAATTCGTTAGGTTTTATTGTTTTATGGTTTGGGAATGGGAATATGAGGTCTGTGCATTTAAAAATGGGTTTTCCTCTCCTTCGTAAATAAGTTTTTGGCCCATGGGAATTCCCCATGAGTATATTAATTGGTGACTTTTCCATCTAGTCATTATGCTTGTAACAGGAGTATTGTGGTGACAATAAAAGTTCTTTTTTATTAACCTGGTATTGGTTAATTTTTGTGTCCTGGTTTTACTTTAGGGGCTGGGATTTCCCAAGTGATGTCTTCCCTGGTTTTTCTTACCATTACTTGAGTAGTGGCAGCAGATCTTTATCCCCAAAATCTAAGTTAAGATTTTGGGGGAAAGCTTTATATCAAACTCTGGAAGGATAAGGTTTTGGGGTACTTTTGTGGGCCCCAACTTCTGCATACATCATGCCAGAGTGGGGAATCAGCCTTGAGAGATGGAGATTCCAACTGCTCCCTAGGGAGCCCAGTTCCAGTGCTTCACCACCCTCCTAGTGAAATAATGTTTTCTAATAGCAACCTAGAACCCCCCACTGTAACTTGAGACCATTGCTCCTTGTTCTGCCATCCGTCACTATGTTGAAAAGCCTCTCTCCCATCCTCTTTGGAACCTCCCTTCAGGAAGTTGAAGGCTGCTGTCAAATCCCCCCTCACTCTTCGCTTCTGTGGACTAAACAAATCCAAATCCCTCATCGTCTCCTCATAGGTCATGTGCTCCAGCCCCCTAATCATTTTGGTTGCCCTTCGCTGGACCCTCTCCAATGCATCCACATCCTGTTTATAGTAGGGGGCACAGAATTGGATGCAGTACTCTAGATGTGGCCTCATTAGTGCCGAATAAAGGGGAATAACTTCTGTAGATCTGGCAACGCTCCTCCTAATGCACCTAATATGCCATTAGCCTTCTTGGCTACAAGGCACTTTGTTGACTCATATCCAGCTTCTCATCTACTGTAATCCCCAGGTCCTTTTCTGCTGAATTACTACTTAGCCAGTCGGTCCCCAGCCTGTAACAATGCTTAGGATGCTTCCATCCCAAGTGCAGGACTCTGCACTTGTCCTTGTTGAACCTCATCAGATTTCTTTTGGCCCAATCCCTCAATTTGTCTAGTTCACTCTGGATCCTATTCCTACCCTCCAATATATCTACCTCTACCCTAAGCTTAGTGTCATCCGCAAACTTGCTGAGGGTGCAATCCATCCCCTCATCCAGGTCAATAATAAAGATACTGAACAAAACCAGCCCTAAAACCAATCCTTGGGGTCACTCTAGTTGAAACCGACTGCCAACCAGACGTCGAGCCATTGATCTCTACCTTTTGGGACTAACAATCTAGTCAGCTTTCTATCCACCTTACAGTCCATTTATCCAATCCATACTGCCTTAGTTTGCTGTCAAGAATACTGTGGGAAACCTGATCAAAAGCTTTGCTGAAGTCAAGGTACATCATATCCACCAACTTCCCCATGTTCGCAGAGCCAGTTACCTCATCATAGAAGGCAATGAGTTTGGTCTGGCATGACTTGCCCTTGGTGAATCCATGTTGACTATTCCTGATCACTTTCCCTTTTTCCAAGTGCTTCAAAATGGATTATTTGAGGATGCCCTCCATGATTTTTCTGTGGACTGAGGGAAGACTGACTGGTCTGTAGTTTCCTGGATTGTCCTTCTTCCCTTTTTTAAAGATGGGCACTACATTTGCCTTTTTTCAATCATCCAGGACCTCTCCTGATCTCCATGAGTTTTCAAAGATAATGGCCAAAGGCTCTGCAATGACATTTGCCAGCTCCCTCAATAACCTCGGATTCATTAAATCTGGACCAATGGATTTGTGTATGTCTAGCTTTTCTAAATAGTTCTTAACCTGTTCTTTCTCCACTGAGGGGTGCCCACCTCTTTCTCATACTGTGTTGCCTAGCGTAGTAGTCTTGGACCTGACCTTGTCTGTGAAGACAAAGGCAAAAAAAGCATTGAGGCCTTTAGTTTTTCCCACATCAACTGTCACCAGGGCTACAGCTACACTACGAACTTTTTCTGGAAGAGTAAATGCAAATGGAGCACTAATTTGCATATATCATGCTCTCATTTGCATATTATCGTCCAATCCTTTTTGCGGAAAAGGTTTTTGCAGAAAAAGCACTGTGTAGATGGTGCATTTTTGCGCAAAAATCCCTTTTTGAGCAAGATCCCTTCTTCCTCAAAAATGGAGGATGGGATCTTGTGCAAAAATGGAGTTTTGCAGAAAAAGGCGCCATCTACACAGCACTTTTTGTGTGCAAAAACCTCTTCCACAAAAAGGATCAGAAGAGAATATGCAAATGAGTGTGAGATATGCAAATGAGTGCTTCATTTGCATTTCTACTTCCAGAAAAAGTATGTAGTATAGCCATAGCCTAAGTTACCTCCCTCATCCAGTAAGGGCCTCATCATCTCCGATTGCCCTCTTATTGCTAACATGCCTGTAGAAACCTTTCTTGTTACCCTTCACATTGCTTGCTAGCTGCAATTCCAATTGAGCTTTTGCTTTCCTGACTGCTCCCCTGCATTCTCGAGTAATATATTTATATTCCTGCCTAGTCATCTATACAAGTTTCCACTTCTTGTAAGCTTCCTTTTTGTGTTTGAGCTCACCAAGGATTTCCCTGCTAAGCCAAGCTGGTTGCCTAGCATATTTGCTTTTCTTACGGTGCATCGGGATGATTTCTTCCTGTGCCTTCAATAAAAATTGTTTAAAATACTGACAGCTCTCCTGGACTCCTTTACCCCTCATGTTAACATTCCAGGGGATCCTGCCCATCAGTTCTCTAAGGGAGTCAGAGTCTGCTTTTCTAAAGTTTCTCCTTTCTTCCTTTTGTCAGGATCCTGGAATCTATCATCTCACGATCACTGCTGCCCAGGTTTTCACCCACCTCTACTCTCCTATTAGTTCATCCCTGTTTGTGAGCAACAGGTCAAGCTGAGCACAGCCCCTGGTCAGTTCCTCCAGCACTTGTACCAGGAAGTTATCCCCAACATTCTCCAAAAACTTCCTGGATTTTCTGTGTACTGCTGTATTTGTTTCCCAGCAGATGTCAGGGAGAACTAGGGCATATTATCTGGAAGCTTCTCTTATTTGTCTGAAGAAACCTTCATCTACCTCTGCTGCTTTGGTTCTACTCTGCTAGCAGCAGCAGCCTCCTTGTGTGGTTTCCCAGACTTTGTCTTGTGGCCAGCTTGGCCTGCCATTTGTTCCCCCCTTCAGCTGCGCAGAATCTACCATTCATGTTTCTGCAATTTTTGGATGCATTCCTCACATCTTCAGTCAGACCCCTTCTCAGATCATCATTTAGTCCTGGGAAGTTCCCCCTGTGATGTTATAGGATTAAAACATGGCCCTGTAAGTGATTGTGATACCAATATTGCATAATTGCAACAAACCCTGTGCAACGTGGGTCACTTGCAGTCTCAATGGGAACATTCTGATGTGGTGACTAAGATTATCTTATTTGTATATGGGCATCATTTTTGTACCTCAAGTTGTGAATATGGAACATACACCTGTATTTCAAATATGGTTGCTGCTGTGTCTGAATGGTGACAGCCTGCCTTTCTTACACAGGCAGTGCTCTGGTT